GCAATGCTCTCAAAGTCTTCCTGTGAAATGTAACCATCATGGTCATGGTCATAATTCCTAAAAACAGACTATCAAAAGACAAAGAACACAGACATTAGTCTCAGTGCCTTATCTGTTCATTTGTTCTTCATTCCAAAAGCAAAAATTGAAAAGTGGGACATTGTTGGCTCACTTCCACCACCTTCCGGATGTGTTTATTGACCACAGAGGGATCTGGTTTGGTGGTGACACCGGAGGCCCAGTCCAGTGGGGCCACGGGCTTGTTAGGAGTAGTTGGAGAAGTAGGCTGTAAAGACAGGTGCACATAAATGAACTTTGATGAGTAAAACGATTGTTCCACTATGACATTTTGCCTTTTCATGATTTCTGAGCTGTTTGATCAATGATCCTAATTTTATCTGAAAGGTACCTGTGATTTAGGGTTACGGGGTTCCCTCAGCAACGACAGCTCATAAATCTCATCTTCTGTGTAATAAAGGTCAAGAGAAAGCTGAAAAATATAAGTAATCTGGTAAAAACTTCAGTTCAGAAAATTGTCAATATTCATTGTTTGCTTGATACAGTTGAATGAAATTCAAATAGAGTCCAAACAAAGAAACCAGTACAGTCAACAGGCAGAACAGGCAAAACTAGGAGTAATAAAATGTGGCTTTGTAAATTTACATAAACCATTTCTCCATGAATCAAATTTTGATAGATAATATTTGGCTTTGCCTCTGTGAAGGAAGCACTAAACTAAAGTAGTTGTGAAAAGTACAGTCAACTTGTTAACCTGCAGTTAAAAACCATAAAACCTGTATGATTTTTCCTACTTTTGTAATTCAGTCAAGTCTCTACCTTTATAGCACCAATTCACAACATAAGTTCCCTCAAACCACTTAAAAAAAGAAAATAGGTTCAATGTTATTCAAATTGCATTTATTAAATAATCTAAACATAATTTAATCTACGTCTAAATGTAGTGGCTTCAGAAAGTATACAGATCCTTCTCGTTTTTGCAGTCTAATATTACAACTGTTTAAATGGTTTTTTCTCATTATTTTACGTTCTATACCCCATAATAACAAAGTGAAAACAAATTTTTTTTCAACTGAAATATTACGGTACATTGTCATAAGTATTCAGACCTTTTGCAACAACACTTGAAATTGAGCCCAAATGCTTCATATTTTTCCTGATCTCTGCTGAGATGTTTTTACACCAGAGTCCACCTGTGGTAATTTACATTGATTGGACATGGCTGGAAAAGACGCACACTTCTACAGAAGGCCTTGCTGACAATCAGAGCAAACCCTGAAACCATGAGGTCAGAGGAGCTCAGACAGGAGTGTTGCAAAGACCATATCAGAAGAAGGACATTCTGCTGCACAGAAGTTTTCCATGAGCTCAGTGGCCTCATCATTTACAGACTATAAGCCGTTACATTTTCCACAAACTTTGAATCCCACAGCCTAAACAATGCTGCGGCTAATTTATGGATTTTATTTATTTTTTATTTTTTTACGAGCTAACGAACTCCATGCAGCCAAAATATTTAGCCTTGTCATACCCAGGCACTCACACATGCCCAATATATGTCTCTCTTGGGGGGTGGGTCCTTGTGACTCAGTGAGACTACAGGTTTAAAAAAAAAAAAATCTGACTAGTGAAATTACATAACAGGTCACAGTGGACCAATGACATGGGGATGGGAGGAGAGAACAGGCAGGGCATTCTTACCTCCCCTCCCTATTGTGCCCCCGAGGGAAGGGGGTCACTGGGGGCACAACATAGTATTTGCAGCCACTCAAAATGTGTGAATCACGCATTTAAATTGACACTCTGAGCTCAGTGTGATGCTTAGATGACTGGCGGCAAGAACTCGTTTACAAAAACTAACTGCCTGTGAAGAGTAACTTTTGCTCAGGACTGCCGGTGGATGCTGACAGTGGAGCAGGGTAAAAATATTGTCATTTACCAACGGGTTTCGAAAGTGTTGTGGCTTTTAGCCACTAATGGTGTTCAAACAGCTGATACAGTCCACCTTAGTTCAAAAGATTTATTGGACAACAGATTGCAAGCATTCAGAGTTCATAAAATCAACAAGTCTGTATGCATACAAGAGCATTTACCAAAACCGACCTGATCTGACGCTTCTCCAGCAAATGCTGCTCGTATTTTCTGGTGGCTGTGTTTTATACAATTCGGGCGCTCTGATTGGTTTAACCGAACGGTTGTCATGGTTACTCTGCTCTGGCCGGGGACTTGGCACATTCTTTAGATAAGATAAGCCACTATTATGTCCTGGCGTGTAAATCGGCTCTTTGTTTTAGCCGTTTCAGTGTACTTACTTATACCTTAGTGATACCAACTGATTCTGTTCTAAAGTTAGTTTTTTCTAGGAATACTTAATAACTATTAATTATTAACTAACTCATCTCTGTGTGGTTTGAACTGACCCCCTCATCAACTGATGATTTTATGTGACTTACTAATTGTTATTATGATACTAATCCTATTTAGTCAAACTGTCTTAGTCTAGGTTAGAGAGAGAGAGAGAGAGAGAGATGTGGTCTAATTTATTTTATGTTAATCAGTCTCCAGTTCTGGCTAACTGTCCTTAGTGAGAAGCAGCCATTCCTCTTGTGTAATTAAAAAGTATCTTACCTGACATTGGGCCCGTTGTGATTCGCTTGTAATTATATCAAAATGTAAATTTCTAACATTGTGAACTTATGTGATTTTCCTAGCTAATGTGAGATTATATATCTATAAGCAAACTAATTGATTAACATTCTGATTAACATTTAAATGATTGTAAGGTAGTGAAAGAATGACACATAAACATATTTTAATACATGAAATTTCAAGCTTGATTAAAATAATACTAAAAGATAAAACATGAAATCCAACAATACCCACTGTCCCTCCTCTGGACATGTCCAAACCATCTCAGTCTGGCCTCTCTAACTATATCTCCCAGTTGTTCAACATGTGTTGTACCTCTGATGATCTCATTCCTAATCTTATCCATCCTTGTCATATTTAAGGAGAACCTCAACATCTTCATTTCTGCCACTTCCAGTTCTGTCTCCTCTCTTTTTGTCCATGTCTCTGTCTCCAGACCATACCAAAACAGTGGTGAGATCAAAACTGGTCTCACCACTGTCTTGTAAACTTTTCCTTTGACCTTTGCTGACACCCTTTTGTCAAAGATCACTCCTGAAACTTTTCTCCATCCACTCCATCCTACCTGAACTCTCTTTTTCACTTCTTTACCACAATTTCCATTTTCCTGGATAGTGGACCCCAAGTACTTGAAGTCCTGCACCTTTGTGACCTCTGATCCTTGTAGCCTCACTGTTCCACCGGCCTCCCTCTCATTCACACACATGTACTCTGTCTTACTACGGCTGACTTTCATTCCTCTTCTTTCAAGTGCATACCTCCACCTCTCCAAGTTCTCTTCCACCTGTTCCCTGTTCTTTCCACAGATCACAATGTCATCTGCAAACATGATGGTCTATTTTAAATTTTCAGGCAATCTATCAATTTCTTCTTGTAACCACTTCCTGGATCTCTTTTCAACGAAAGTTATGACACTCCTTAGTGACTTAACCACTTATGAACTTCTGAAAAGAGATTCAGGAAGTGGTTACAAGAAGAAATTGATAGATAGCCTCAGCATTGTCTACAGAAATAATTTTTCGGCACCTCATCTGACAATTTAAATCCAAACCATCTCCGAAAGAACAGCCATTTTCATTTTGTTCAGCAGCTAAGCTGCTCTTCATATTATCTTCCGTGCTTACTTGGGCTAAACGTCTCCTCTCCCTCCCGCCCACCTCCTGGGGGGGGGGGGGGGGGGGGGGGCGTAGCTAAGGGCCTGGGTTTGTGTTCAAGGAGGGAGAAGGAGTGGGGCTGCGTGGGAGAAAGAAGACCGCAAGAGGATTTCCAAGTATAAATCTATATCGCTTTATATTGATATGGTCTCAACTTATATCGCAGAATTTTTTAAAAATATTTTTAAAATCTTTATATATCACTTAGCTCTAACTAAAACCTGTTTCAGGGTCTTACCACCAGCATTACTGCCACCAGCTAGTAAGGCACGTGGCATCAATTTCTGAACTCTGAACCCGCCCACTAGAACAGTTACTGAAAGTATAATGGAAACACAATTCGTACCATGCTGAACAGAGTTACGCCAAGTCTAACTGTGCTGTACTGGCACTAGTGGAAAAGAGGCATTGGAACCATAGCTAAGTTGGTTCTGAAAAAGGGGCTGGTCCCACAAATTATTGCTAGTGGGAAAGCCTTGGAACTGTGCAGAACCAAGTCAAACCGTGCTGTAGAGGCGCTAGTGGAAAAGAGGCAATAGAGCCACCTAACCAACTCAGTCCAATTTGATGAGGCTTTATGAGACAAAGTCAATCTTATCATTATTTTTACAGAGCACTGAGTTTTGTCTGTTTGCAAAGTCAAGTTCATTTATGCGTTTTAGTTATCTTTCAGTTGCAGCAGAAGGAGGATTTTTTTTTTCATAAATTGGACCTGGATTGAAGTCTTGAGCAATTTAAGCCCTTTAATCAATAAAGGTAAGTTGACAATAATTGATTTAATGTTTTAGTTGACATTAAATAACCAGAAATGTCTGAGCTGAGCTTGTTTGTGCTTTATCTCGAATAGGATTATGTAGATTTTATTTAACTGCAAAATAAAAAAAAACTTTAATTGTTCCAAACATGATCATTTAAAGCCATTTTAATATTGGTTAATTTATGTTTTCATGTAAAACTTTACATTGATTTTATTTACTTTTTATATGTGATAAACTGCAGAAATTGTCCTGACTTTGTTTCTCATATTTTACAGGGTAAAAAATAAAAAGAGAATTTGGACTCTGGAGAGTTGAAAAGATTTTGTTGCTGGATAAAAGGAAAAATTTAGTTGATTTGTCATTCCTTAGATTACATTGTTTATTTTTTTTATTAATAACATTTTACAAATAAGTGTATCTGAAGGGATGTGGAAACATGATTTATGTAAAGGAACTTTTTAAATGATAGTGACTAGAGTTTCATCATTATCAAAAGGAAATAATTCAAATTCCACATTTGTTAGTTGTCTTTGACTAAAGTAAATTTTCATACATTTGTCTAGAAACCCTCACCATAAGAAGACGGTCTTCCACTGTTATTTCCCAGTGGAGTCACATTGGACAACTCAAACTCTTGTTGGCTGCAAGAACTAACTTCAAACAAACGGATGACAAACAGTATATGTGTTACTGTGTTAACATGCTGCTTTTTGTAATTGAATACAGCCCAATTTTGGGGGACTTATTAGTATTTCTGTCAGCATATTTTCAGTAAAAGAAGAATATTGTGCAATGTATAAAACCGTACACAGTTGATAATTGTACCAAAATTCACTGACTTATGTTGGTTCTGGTTTGAATCGGTAGTGTTGAATTACATTGTCTACAT